GGGGGGAGAGCTAGGGCTGACACCAGGGGGGAGAGCTAGGGCTGACACCAGGGGGGAGAGCTAGGGCTGACACCAGGGGGGAGAGCTAGGGCTGACACCAGGGGGGAGAGCTAGGGCTGACACCAGGGGGGAGAGCTAGGGCTGACACCAGGGGGGAGAGCTAGGGCTGACACCAGGGGGGAGAGCTAGGGCTGACACCAGGGGGGAGAGCTAGGGCTGACACCAGGGGGGAGAGCTAGGGCTGACACCAGGGGGGAGAGCTAGGGCTGACACCAGGGGGGAGAGCTAGGGCTGACACCAGGGGGGAGAGCTAGGGCTGACACCAGGGGGGAGAGCTAGGGCTGACACCAGGGGGGAGAGCTAGGGCTGACACCAGGGGGGAGAGCTAGGGCTGACACCAGGGGGGAGAGCTAGGGCTGACACCAGGGGGGAGAGCTAGGGCTGACACCAGGGGGGAGAGCTAGGGCTGACACCAGGGGGGAGAGCTAGGGCTGACACCAGGGGGGAGAGCTAGGGCTGACACCAGGGGGGAGAGCTAGGGCTGACACCAGGGGGGAGAGCTAGGGCTGACACCAGGGGGGAGAGCTAGGGCTGACACCAGGGGGGAGAGCTAGGGCTGACACCAGGGGGGAGAGCTAGGGCTGATTTGGCTCGGGACGGGCACGGCTTTTCAGCATACGCTTATGACAACAACAAAAAAAGGAACAAACTCGACGGTTAGCCGAAAAATCTGACACGCTTGGTAGCCCCCCATTCCTTCGCCACTGACAGACGTACAGTGGTACCTCGACATTAGGAGTGCCCTGACATACGAGATTTTTGAGATACGAGCCGTCGAACGAGCGATGTTTTGCTTTGAGATGCGAGAAATATTTGAGGCTGGAGTAAAATTGGGCCAATCTTAGTCTAGCCAATAGCGCCTTTCTAAGTCTAGACTGGAGCCAAATAGGGCTCTTCTAAGTAACCTGGGGTAAAATTGGGCCAATCTTAGTCTAGCATATAGCGCCTTTCTAAGTCTAGACTGGAGCCAAATAGGGCTCTTCTAAGTAGCCTGGAGTAAAATTGGGCCAATCTTAGTCTAGCCAGTAGCGCCTTTCTAAGTCTAGCCTGGAGTCAAATAGGGCTCTTCTAAGTAGCCTGGAGTAAAATTGGGCCAATCTTAGTCTAGCCAATCGCGCCTTTCTACGTCTAGCCTGGAGTCACGCATGTGTTTGTAGTACGTATCATATCAATCTGCGCAATGATATATTATGAACGCTCGAGAATCGTTAGACCACACAAACTCGGCAAGTGATAGCAGCTGTATAGAAACAAGACCGTTCTACGAATAGAAACGCTCGCCAGGTTTCCTGAGAAAATATCTTGACTAACGGCGAATTAAAAAAAGAACCAAAACAAAATAAAAACCACAATATTTCGTTAAGCCCTCGTCAGCACATCGACCACGGGGAGGTTGTGCGTGCTCAGTTGGTGTCGACACGCCTGTGAGTGTGCTGTGTGCTGTGTGCCCTGGTAGAGTAGATTCACTTCTCTGTTAGGTCTAGGAATTCTAGGAACATTTTTAATCCGTCATTCTCAGTGTTATAATAGGCTATCAAGCCGTGTTTTGGGACGCCTTGGAACTAGGTCACGAAGTGAGTACACGGAATTATCCTCCTGAGGTTACTGTTTGTTTATTATTGTAGAACTGACTGTAGGGTAGTGTTGGTCAGGGGCGTATCTGCATGGGAACACGACTGGAGTCAATGTTATTTAAATTGGTATTAAGGTGTATAAAGAGTGGCGTAACTATCGGTTGGGCAGACTTTGGGGCCCCAGCTTTACTGGCTTTAGCTACACACTAAAATTGGGAAGCTATTATTATTAATAATATTATACAAAGACAAACACAGACAGGTTTACTCTTACGATTTTAAGTTGTATACATTTCATATATACTGTATGTTTATTTGTCTACTATTTAGGATAATGTATTGAACGATTTTGTGATGATATTGTACGATTTTAAGAGATTATGGGTAAACTGTAAACAGGTCTGTAACAAGACTGACAAACTGGAGAAACATAGTATTACAGTCTTCTTGCTCGCCTTAAGACGAGTTGATTTTATTTCATTATTCACACACGTGTCACATCAATATAATGTAGGCCGGACCTGTTGATGACGTAGATGAAGTAGATGAATTAATCAAAGTGACCTAACCCATGACACACTAGAGTTCTCGTAGGTCGTGCCTAACCTCACTGTGGCTTTTGACAGAGCCAGTCAAGGGCCAAGGTCGCTGAGAAGACTAGATGCCAAAAACCCCCGATTAGAACAGACGTAGCCTAAACATTGCTGGACCCCCTCTGAGCTTGTAAACTTGTCTCAGGTTGTAAACCTGTCTGTTGTTTTAAATCTGTCGCAGGGATTCATTAGGCGCAACACACAGTACACAAGGCAACGCACCTATAAAGTTGGTATTTCTGGTGCCTGTCTAACAGTTATATTTTCAACGATTTAATAGTTTAGGGAATTTTATTGGTATATCTGGGTACATTTTATTGGTATACCTGGGTATATTGCATTGGTACACCTGGGTACGTTTTATAGGTATATCTGGGTATATCTCATTGGTACACCTGGGTACGTTTTATTGGTATATCTGGGTATATTTCATTGGTATACCTGGGTACGTTTTATAGGTATATCTGGGTATATTTTATTGATATATCTGGGTACATTTCATTGGTATACCTGGGTACATTTTTTAGGTATATCTGGGTATATTTTATTGATATATCTGGGTACATTTTATAGGTAAAAATTGGTAAATTTTAATCAAATCTACATCTTAATCTACATCTTAGCTATATCTTATCTGCATCTTATCTTCATCTTATCCACACCTTATCTGCAACTTATCTTCATCTTATCTACATTTTATCTTCATCTTATCTACATCATATGTAAATCTTATCTACATCAAATCTACATCTTATCTACATCTCATAGCATTTCTTTAGTATGAGCTGTTCCATATTTTAATGAGCTGATTTAACATGCAGTTGATCTCCTGATGATTCATAGACATATGTACATTTTTCTAGGTTTACATACTTATTGTGTACACTTGGTACACATATACATGTCTCTATGGCACTTGGTACACACATACATGTCTCTATGTCACTTGATTACAAATAAACTTGTATCTAGGCCCACGTGCTCATATTCGTAAAAATGCAGGATTTTTTTTTGGGGGGGGGGGGGGGGAAAAGATTGGGCCCCCCCCAGGGGGTAAAGAATTGTCCCGCCCCAGACGGCACTAACCCTAGTTACGCAAGGATTCCAAAAAATATAACTTCAAAATTGCTCCTGCCAAGGAAATGTAATCTCGTTCATGGGAGATAAGCTGACTGATATGCACAATGCTCATATTTGTTTGCCCATCTTTTTGATGTGCCCCTTTCTTGTTTCGTGCCCCCCCCCCCCGGCATAATTTGATGTCCCCATCTTATGTGTTGCACCTGTAGTTTGTTGTGCCCCTTGTAGTGTGTTGTGCCCCTTGTAGTGTGTTGTGCCCCTTGTAGTGTGTTGTGCCCCTTGTAGTGTGTTGTGCCCCTTGTAGTCGGTGCTGCCGCCTGTACTTTTTGATACAAAAACTCTTATTTTGGTTCAACTATCAACTTTACTGCATCTGTCTTTGTTGTCCATGTTAGTAGTTTGGTACCCTTTTAATATTTGATGAGTTCAGTAATACTTGAAGACCTTTGTGACATTTGATGTCCTTCCTCACACACAACCCCCCCCCCCACACACACACACACACCGTCAACTGTTGACACTGCCCAAGGCCACACTAGAATGTGTTTCCTTGTGTCGAGTGGCTGTGTTATCATCTCACACCGTCAACTGTTGACACTGCCCAAGGCCACACTAGAATGTGTTCCCGTGTGTGTCGAGTGGCTGTGTTATCATCTCACACATAAACAGTATACTTGTGCTATCACATTGTTTCCAGATCGACCAGATCACGTGACAAGTAGGCGGAGCAATGGAGGCAACACCTGATAGCGACATTGTCACCCCAAACGAAGGTGAGATAACCATTCCCCCCCCCCCCAAGATCATTTCAAGGACTTATTGAAACGTCACACAAAACAGTATACTTGTGCTATCACATTGTTTCCAGATCGACCAGATCACGTGACAAGGAGGCGGAGCAATGGAGGCAACACCTGATAGCGACATTGTCACCCCAAACCAAGGTGAGATAACCATTCCCCCCCCCCCCAAGATCATTTCAAGGACTTATTGAAACGTCACACTAGGTAACACACGCGATGACACATTCAAGGACACAGTGAGACAATTGTCAAAGCCTCGTGGTTGAGGTTTATTTGAACAGCTCTTTCATTAAATTTGCAGAACTGATATGATGTCATTTTGAACCAGGGAATTCTTCTAAATAGAATGAAAGAGCACATCGACACGCAGCTATGAGAATGGCTGCCACTGAAATAGATCATGCACAGGCGAAATTGCAACACTACGCATGGAATGTCATCACCCCTATGTCTTAATTTCATCGACTAAGAAAATGTCTTTGAAAGCCTGGACCGATCAATCCTGTGGGAACGGCTCCAGCACTGTGGGTCTCAGAAAAACTCATCAGCATCATTCACAGTTCTTATAAAGAAATAACATACAGGGTGGTACACGATGAAAGGCTCACATTAAGGTAGACTCACAATAAGGTAGACTCACAGTAAGGTAGACTCACAGTAAAGTATACTCACAGTAAAGTATACTCACAGTAAGGTAGACTCACAGTAAGGTAGACTCACAGTAAAGTATACTCACAGTAAGGTAGACTCACAGTAACGTAGACTCACAGTAAGGTAGATTCCCAGTAAGGTATACTCAAGTAAGGTAGACTCACAGTAAGGTAGACTCAAGTAAGGTAGACTCACAGTAAGGTAGACTCACAGAAGCCTTTAAAGTGGAAACAGGAGTCAGACAAGGAAGTCTCTTATCTCCCTTCCTACTCATCCTTGCCATTGACTGGATAATGAAATAATCCACGGACAAAAAGAGGAACGGGATACAGTAGACACTCTGGGAACAACTGAATGATTTAGACTTTGCAGACGACATTGCACTTCTGTCTCACAACCAGCAACAAATGCCGGAAAATACAAAACACGTAGCCACCATTTCAGCACAGCTCGGACTCAATATAAATTTTTAAAAAGACAAAGGTCATGAAGGCAAACTCAGCCAAACAATAGAATGTGTCTCTGGCAGGAGATGCCCAGGAAGAAGTAGAGTCCTTCACATACTCAAGCAGCACCGTTGACTTAAAAGGTGGACCCGAAACTGGTGTTAGGGCTCGAATTGGAAAGACTTGTTCAGCATTTGTGCATTTACAGAAAACATGTGAATCTGAAGAGCTGACTCACCAAACTAAAATCAAAATTTTTAACACAAATGTCAAAACAGTCCTGTTGTATGGAGAGGAGACTTTGAGAACATCAATCATCACAGACCTTCACAAACATTTGCCCTAGAAAGATCCTGAACATCAAATGGCCTAACATCATTACCAACAGAGACTTACTGGAATGGACATACCAGGAGCCTATCGCTGGAGACACCATAAGGAAAAGATGGAGGTGGATAGGACACTCTCTTAGTTAACCCCAAATAACATCATCAAACAATTCCTGACATGGAATCCTTTGATAAAAAGGAAAAGAGAACAGCCAAAAATACATGGAGCCTCAAGCTAGAGGCAGGCACACAAAGTAGGGGATACACCTGGAGGCAACTGCAAGAAAAGCACAGGGCTGAGATGAATGGAAAATTCTTGTGTACGGCCTATGCCATAGACAGGGTAGTGTTGTTTGTTCCTATGCCATAGACGGGGTTGTGTTGTTTGGTTTGTTCCTATGCCATAGACGGGGTTGTGTTGTTTGTTCCTATGCCATAGACGGGGTTGTGTTGTTTGTTCCTATGCCATAGACGGGGTTGTGTTGTTTGTTCCTATGCCATAGACAGGGTTGTGTTGTTTGTTCCTAGGCCATAGACGGGGTTGTGTTGTCTGTTCCGACTCATTACACCCACATCTTTGAATCTTGTACACATCAATTATATCAATAATCATCTGTTTTAGTTTTAACTTTTGGATGAAATTATTTTACAATATGTATATCCGATTGACCACCACACCATGACAGGTTTCCATGAGGTCGAGGTCAGTGGCGAGAACGAGGTTGAGATTGGGGAAGACAACGACGTGGCCGATCTCGACCGTGTCTCGCCCTCGCGCTGCCAGAAAGAAGCCTGCCACCACAAGTACATACTGACCGACAAGCTGACGCTCTGCGACTTCCCGAAGCGATACCGTGACAGAGATGTCCTGCAGCTGGCCAAGGTGCTCGCCCTGTTGACGGTGAAGGTCAGGGTCGGCTACGTCAGTCGGGAGAGGCCAGAGTTCAGTCCAGAGAATCTTCGCTACCCGTTGTACACTTTAAGAGGCCAGAGCATCGTGTCGTGTGGCAGCGGGCGAATCTGGGACGTGGAAATGTGAGTTTAACCACACCACTCACCACAGGGTTGTCACGTGTGGTTATCAATTTGATGTCTGTAAAAACGTGACTATTTTTTGAAGTGAAACAAAACGGGATAACTTAATATTAGTGATGTCTCCTTAACTCAGTATGAGTGATGTCTTCTTAACTCAGTATGAGTGATGTCTTCTTAACTCAGTATGAGTGCTGTCTTCTTAACTCAGTATGAGTGATGTCTTCTTAACTCAGTATGAGTGATGTCTTCTTAACTCAGTATGAGTGATGTCTTCTTAACTCAGTATGAGTGATGTCTTCTTAACTCAGTATGAATGATGTCTTCTTAACTCAATATTAGTGATGTCTTCTTAACTCAGTATGAGTGATGTCTTCTTAACTTAATATTAGTGATGTCTTCTTAACTCAGTATGAGTGATGTCTTCTGGCTTGCTTGAAATTTGAATGATAATAAATAATTGAGCACTGATGAGATCGCTATACATGGTGTCATATACAGTTAAAATTTAGATTACATTTTTATTTCATATTTATATAAAAAAATGTTCCCCACCCCAATATAACCTTTAAATGCACCCCCTATGGGGTGTCTGTTGAGAAACACTGTCTTTGTAATTGAAACTACTAAAAAAAAATTGAGACTCCCTGCATTAAAAATGGATCATTTCTATTGCAGCATCACTCCGGAACAGAACCGGAAATGTGAGTGTCGTGGATGCCGCGCCTCAGACACGCCCATCTACGCCTGGGCCTACGTCTACGTTGACACGGCCACCCACGTGGTGTTTGACAACGACGAGGCAAAGAGCACCGACTGCTGGTGGGGCTACGACTCCCCGTGCGCCCCCCACGTCATCCTGGAGGGCGTGGCCATGAAGGACCGGAACTTCGCGCGTGACACCTTCCGGATCGCGTGCGTCACGCACGACCTTGACCTCGTCAGGAGGCTGCAGGGGTGGACGCGGGAGTACGAGGAGCTGTTCTGGGAGGTGACCAACAAGTACGACGGGTCAGAGCAGGAGGTCAAGGACAATCTGATCATCATCGTCTCCCACCCTCACGGCTGCTACAAGCGGGTGTCCCTGGGGCCCTGGGAGAGCCGCGAGGAGCTGAGCGACAAGCGCACCAGGTACTCGTACACCGCCAGCACGTGCCAGGGCACCAGCGGGGCGCCCGTCTTCATCATCGGGAGGGAGGGCTGGGAGTGGTACACGCACGCCCACAGCTGGACGGACAACAAGCCGGGCAAGACCTCCAACTTCAGCTGTTACCGGTGGTTCTAAAAATTGCCGGAATGGCTCAGGTTTTCGCATTGGACATGTATGGAACATAATTATGAAAATTGGTTTTGACATTGGGGATGAAAACGGTCACATATGATCCTGGGGATAAGGGTTATGGCAAAATGGAGCTGACACACTGATTTTACATAGTTTTAATATGTATCCTTTCTTCCACCGTCTGGTGCTTCTAATATTTATAATATTGACAAATGGTTTTATGTATTGCTATTATGAAAATTAGTCCCACCTACCTATTGCCCCACCTACCCATTGCCCCACCTACCCATTGCCCCACTTACCCATTGTCCCACCTACCCATTGCCCCTTAAGATTGCTGTTTTCATGACCCACGCTGTCAACAAAAAATAGTTCCAAGGCCGAATGAGTGTGATAAAAAAAGGAAGTAAGCAGGGTCGTAGAATTTCGGGGAGGGAAAGGGGGTAACTGTCTGGGTGACAAAATCGTTATTTTTCATGCAAAATATGTGTATTCATTATATTAATATATATATATATATATCTATATATATAGATATATATGAAGATATATATATATATATATATATGTATGTATATATGTATATTTGTAAAGACAGTTCTGAATTGAGGCTTTTTCTTGCTAATGCCCTGATAGTACTCACCTATATTGCCCGCCTGCCTTGAGTGGTTCTTAAATTTTATCATGCCGACATTCTATTAAACTAGGCGTAACCTCAGATTGAAAGCCACATCCAACCTGGCATACCCTCACTATAGGGCACATCTTAAGACTGTTTTTTTTATTTCCACGACATGCCAAAGTTTTTCTCTTCATTATATATCTTTGTCTTAGTGTCTGTACTTTCTTATACATCCTGGTAGCAGTGAGCACACTGTTCTACCAACATGCTGGTCAATCACGCATATCCGTGGGCTCTGAGCTGCCTACCTGCTAGTCAATGATACAAATTCAATACCCTGGGGCTCTGGGCTGCCAACCTGCTGGTCAATGATACAAATACAATACCCTGGGGCTCTGAGCTGCCAATCTGATAGTCAATGATACAAATACAATACCCTGGGGCTGTGGGCTGCCAACCTGCTGGTCAATGATACAAATACAATACCCTGGGTCTGTGGGCTGCCAACCTGCTAGTCAATGATACAAATACAATACCCTGGGGCTGTGGGCTGCCAACCTGCTGGTCAATGATACAAATACAATACCCTGGGGCTGTGGGCTGCCAACCTGCTGGTCAATGATAAAAATACAAAACCCTGGGGCTCTGGGCTGCCAACCTGCTGGTCAATGATACAAATACAATACCCTGGGGCTCTGAGCTGCCAATCTGATAGTCAATGATACAAATACAATACCCTGGGGCTGTGGGTTGCCAACCTGCTAGTCAATGATACAAATTCAATAACCTGAGGCTCTGAGCTGCCAACCTGCTAGTCAATGATACAAATACAATACCCTTGGGCTGTGGGCTGCCAACCTGCTGGTCAATGATACAAATACAATACCCTGGGGCTGTGGGCTGCCAACCTGCTGGTCAATGATACAAATACAATACCCTGGGGCTCTGGGCTGCCAACCTGCTAGTCAATGATACAAATACAATACCCTGGGGCTCTGGGCTGCCAACCTGCTGGTCAATGATACAAATACAATACCCTGGGGCTGTGGGCTGCCAACCTGCTGGTCAATGATAAAAATACAATACCCTGGGGCTCTGGGCTGCCAACCTGCTGGTCAATGATACAAATACAATACCCTGGGGCTCTGAGCTGCCAATCTGCTAGTCAATGATACAAATACAATACCCTGGGGCTGTGGGTTGCCAACCTGCTAGTCAATGATACAAATACAATAACCTGAGGCTCTGAGCTGCCAACCTGCTAGTCAATGATACAAATACAATACCCTGGGGCTGTGGGCTGCCAACCTGCTGGTCAATGATACAAATACAATACCCTGGGGCTGTGGGCTGCCAACCTGCTGGTCAATGATACAAATACAATACCCTGGGGCTCTGAGCTGCCAACCTGCTAGTCAATGATACAAATACAATACCCTGGGGCTGTGGGCTGCCAACCTGCTAGTCAATGATACAAATACAATACCCTGGGGCTGTGGGCTGCCAACCTGCTGGTCAATGATACAAATACAATACCCTGGGGCTGTGGGCTGCCAACCTGCTAGTCAATGATACACATACAATACCCTGGGGCTGTGGGCTGCCAACCTGCTGGTCAATGATACAAATACAATACCCTGGGGCTCTGAGCTGCCAACCTGCTGGTCAATGATACAAATACAATACCCTGGGGCTCTGAGCTGCCAACCTGCTAGTCAATGATTCAAATTCAATACCCTAAGGCTTTGAGCTGCCAACCTGCCGGTCAATGATACAAATACAATACCCTGGGGCTGTGGGCTGCCAACCTGCTGGTCAATGATACAAATACAATACCCTGGGGTTGTGGGCTGCCAACCTGCTGGTCAATGATACAAATACAATAGAGGCTCTGAGCTGCCAACCTGCTGGTCAATGATACAAATTCAATAGAGGGTCTGAGCTGCCAGCCTGCTGGTCAATAATACAGATTCAATACCCTGGGCTTGTGGGCTGCCAACCTGCTGGTCAATGATACAAATTCAATAGAGGCTCTGAGCTGCCAACCTGCTGGTCAATGATACAAATTCAATACCCTGGGGTTGTGGGCTGCCAACCTGCTGGTCAATGATACAAATACAATACCATGGGGTTGTGGGCTGCCAACCTGCTGGTGAATGATACAAATACAATAGAGGCTCTAAGCTGCCAACCTGCTGGTCAATGATACAAATACAATAGATTCTCTGAGCTGCCAACCTGCTGGTCAATGATACAAATACAATATAGGCTCTGAGCTGCCAACCTGCTGGTCAATGATACAAATACAATACCCTGGGGCTCTGAGCTGCCAGCCTGCTGGTCAATGATACAAATTCAAAACCCTGGGGTTGTCGGCTGCCAACCTGACGGTCAATGATACAAATACAATAGAGGCTCTGAGCTGCCAACCTGCTGGTCAATGATAAAAATACAATAGAGGCTCTGAGTTGCCAACCTGCTGGTCAATGATACAAATTCAATAGAGGCTCTGAGCTGCCACTCTGCTGGTCAATGATACAAATTCAATAGAGGCTCTAAGCTGCCAACCTGCTGGTCAATGATACAAATTTCAATACCCATGGCTTGTGGGCTGCCAACCTGCTAGTCAATGATACAAATTCAATAGAGGCTCTGAGCTGCCAACCTGCTGGTCAATGATACAAATTCAATACCCTGGGTCTGTGGGCTGCCAACCTGCTGGTCAATGATACAAATACAATACCCTGGGGTTGTGGGCTGCCAACCTGCTGGTCAATGATACAAATACAATAGAGGCTCTGAGCTGCCAACCTGCTGGTCAATGATACAAATACAATACCCTGGGGTTGTGGGCTGCCAACCTGCTGGTCAATGATACAAATACAATACCCTGGGGCTCTGAGCTGCCAACCTGCTGGTCAATGATACAAATACAATACCCTGGGGCTCTGAGCTGCCAACCTGCTGGTCAATGATACAAATACAATACCCTGGGGCTGTGGGCTGCCAACCTGCTGGTCAATGATACAAATACAATACCCTGGGGCTCTGAGCTGCCAGCCTGCTGCTCAATGATACAAATACAATACCCTGGGGCTGTGGGCTGCCAGCCTGCTGGTCAATGATACAAATACAATACCCTGGGGCTCTGAGCTGCCAACCTGACGGTCAATGATACACATACAATACCCTGGGGCTCTGAGCTGCCAGCCTGCTGCTCAATGATACAAATACAATACCCTGGGGCTCTGAGCTGCAAACGCGCTGGTCTGTCACGCAGTAGCCAAAGTCTCAAAGATGCCGAGAGAATCTTTTCTATCTGGGTCTAGAGATATAGACTTTTTGTTATTGTCTAGAGATATAGACTTGTTCCCATTGTCTAAGAGATGTAGACTTGTTCCCATTGTCTAGAGATATAGACTTGTTCCCATTGTCTAAGAGATGTAGACTTGTTCCCATTGTCTAGAGATATAGACTTGTTCCCATTGTCTAAGAGATGTAGACTTTGTTTTTACTGTCTAGAGGTATAGACGCTCTTATTTTCTAGACATATAGACTTATTGTCACTGTCTAGAGATATAGACCTGTTCTCACTGTCTAGAGATTTAGACCTGTTCTCACTGTCTAGAGATTTAGACCTGTACTCACTGTCTAGAGATTTAGACCTGTACTCACTGTCTAGAGATATAGACCTGTACTCATTGTCTAGAGATTTAGACCTGTTCTCACTGTCTAGAGATATAGACCTGTACTCACTGTCTAGAGATTTAGACCTGTACTCACTGTCTAGAGATATAGACCTGTACTCACTGTCTAGAGATTTAGACCTGTACTCACTGTCTAGAGATTTAGACCTGTTCTCACTGTCTAGAGATATAGACCTGTACTCACTGTCTAGAGATATAGACCTGTACTCACTGTCTAGAGATTTAGACCTGTTCTCACTGTCTAGAGATTTAGACCTGTACTCATTGTCTAGAGATATAGACCTGTACTCACTGTCTAGAGATATAGACCTGTACTCACTGTCTAGAGATTTAGACCTGTTCTCACTGTCTAGAGATTTAGACCTGTACTCATTGTCTAGAGATTTAGACCTGTACTCACTGTCTAGAGATTTAGACCTGTACTCACTGTCTAGAGATTTAGACTTGTTTTCACCGTCTCACTTCTTCATTCTATTTACAAAGTGGTTTTTTTTCATATAAATGTTTTCTGTTTTTCACGCATGCTTATAAGATTATTTACACTTTAAGTTATTGCTTTGCTGAAAAGATTGTGTTATTTATAACATACTAGCCAATATCCCCGGATGTTCTCAGGTTTGCATGCGAAAATCCCATTCTAAATCCTTAGCAGTATAATCAGTGTACGAGTGAGGGACCTGTCAATGAGACTTCCCAAAAGTATAGATTCATGTGAAAAAAATTATCATATATTTTTTTTTCTGATTTCAGTCGAAGTAATTAACAAAGATGGTTTGTTTTAATGTTTTCATTGGGCTCCCCATGGCACCAAAAAAAAACAACAACAAAATTTTTTTTTTTTAAATCTTAACAGCTGTGAGTAAGTTTTTAAACAAACGCTATTTTTAAAAAATTGAAAAATGCCAAAAGAAACTTCGCTTTATTTAAAATTAAATTTTGGATATTATTCGCTTGAAATCCAACGATATTTTAAAAGTGATTGTGAAGCATGAAAGGAATATTCACCAAGTTTCGTCTGGAGATGCAACACTTTATGTAGAAGCTTGTATTGTTAGCTCAGCCATCGTACAGCTTTGGCCAATGATAAATAAGCTACATTGATGAACCTCCGACACTGATATGTAACTTTTTAGAAACTTCAAAAATATCTTTAAATCAAAT